TTTGAATCTAAGTGTAAGAAATCTTTCCATGGGAAAATGTTGTGGATTAGAGAAAAACATGGTAAGAGGAGAGACCTTGAAGGCTGCTTACTAGAGGCAACCAGAAACGGCTAAAGATTATAATTAAAGGGGAAGACCCACTAATACAGAATGGAGAAAAGTATTTTAACTTTGGAAAAATTCAAGGATATTTTGGCAACAATGTACTCAGAACTTTCTCTTAAGATTGTCTGCTACTATAAAAATGGGTTTAAAAGAGGAGACAGAAGAGGATACAACTGAGAATCAGGCTGTTTTGGATATGGATTTAAAAACGACAGGATACATTGACAAAGATGAACACAGGATTTGCAAATGAAACCGGCTGATATTTTAACAGCTAAAAGGGACACACAAATAATAAATCAGGAGAGTGACTTGGACAACTTCTTATTTTGGACTTACAAAAGAGATGTGTTACACTGATGAAGGAATTCCTGAGAAAAGATAAAGAAACAATGAAAAGAAACCAGCTTTTGGGACACTACTTAAAAGGAATAAACATCAAGATTTTCAAAAACAAAAAGACTATAAAGTTGGCTTATTTTACCAAGGTTTGTTTGTTTATATGTATGTTTTTTTCTAGTAGCTTTTAATGGGTTTTTTCTTGACCAGGACTGAAGGACGAGGCTTTAAAGATTTGTTTATAGATAAGATATAGGAAGAAGATATTTTTTTGTTGTATTTTTTAGAAAAAAGTTTTAAGCTATGGAAAGTGTTAAACTTGTGAAGGAGTTTCTGAGAGGAGACGAAGAGAAAATGATAAGAAATTAATTTGTGGGATATTATTTGAAGGGATTAAAGTTCAAGATTTTCAATATGTTGTTTCTGGTAACTCTTAATGAATTTTTTCTTGATTAGGTTTGAATGACCAAGTTTTTAAGATTTGTTTATAGATACAAGATATGAGAAGAAGAGATTGTTGTTGTATTTTACAGAAAATGGTAGGTTACTCAGTAAAGGAAAGGAAAGGATTATGAAATTGATTTACTTGTTTAAGGTAGGTAGGTAGGTTGGTAGGTAGATAGATAGTTCTGGCAAATCTTAATAGGCTTTTGCTGATCAAGACTGAATGATGAGGCTTTAAGACAATGCTAATAGATAAAAAGATGAGAAATGGGATGAAGAGACTTTTGGTTGAAACATTACAGAAAGTGATAAGTTACTGAAATTGTATTTGTCTTGATGAAGAGGGAAGCCATTTCTTTATATATCTTTTTTCTTTATCCTTTTCCCCCTCCCCCCGTTTTCCTCTCTGTACTGTTTTCTTTTTTATATTTTTCTTAGTTTGTATTAGTTTTTTATCTTCGTCTTCTTAAACTTCAATAAAAACAATTATATAAAAAGTATACTAGGTACAGTATATTGTATTCCCCCACTTTTTCAGGTTTCTTTTTTGTTTTTTTCTTGTCTTTTGACTTGGTTTCTATTTTTCTTCTTCAAGTTTGAAGATTGTTGTGTTAAGGGTGTATGTTAAGAATGTAAAATGAAAATAAAGAAATAAAAATTCTCCCCCGCTCAGCTTTTTGTGCTTCCAGACCTCTTCCAGACCGGGAGTGCCTGCGGGGGGGGTGGGGGGTCAACAAAGGCAAGAAGGTGGCCGCAAGGGCACCATCCAAGTCCCGCCTGCGTGTGCGTGCGCACATAAAAACTAGGCAGAACGCCAACTGCACCGCCACGGCTGCCATCTTGACCTCTGTGGCGCTCCCCGGCAGGCACCCGTTGTCCGCTCTCGTCCGCTGCTGGCTGCAGAGCCAACCGGGAAGACGAGAGCTGCTCCTGCGTCCTGCTCTCCCGTCTCCCCCCAGCTTGCCCCCCGCAATACGTACTGCACTTTGGTGGCGAAAGGCTCCAGCCCCGCGTAGCGCAGCGTGGGGGACAGCAGGACGTGGTGGATCTCCTCGCGCCCTTGCACGCTGTTCTCCTCCGCCTCGAGGTACCCCCCGTTGCCGCTGCTGCCAGTGCCCCCTCCCTGTGGGTCGGCCTTCACCGGGCGGCAGCTTAAAATAGACGTGCTCCCTGCAGGGGGAGGGAGAAGGGAAGGGTGCCGTGGCGTTTCTGGGGTGGGGGGCTGAAGCGCTGACACGTGGTAGGAGCAGGCTCCCCATGGCCAGTCCCAAGACGACTAGAGAGCCAGCCGGTGGGGCTGCTCCCACCACCCCACTGAGCCTCCCAAGAGGCTGCCTTCCAGCTCGCACCCCTCTGCCTTCCCCTCTGGGGGCCGGGCAGCCTCCCCAAAGAGAGCCCTAGCTGCCATCTTCCTTTTGGGGTCTCTCCAGATCCTGGTGGGCCCCAAATGCTGCTCTACAGCACCTTGCTTCCTGTTTATGCGGGCCTTTAAATCAAGGAAGCTAAAACAAAAAGAACCAGCCGAAGCGGGGAGAGGTGCTCGTGGCTGGGCGGGCGCTGGTGGATGCCGCGATCAGGATGCAGGTGGAACCACATTAGACGGGGCCCCCCCCCCGCCAATCCTCTCTGCCAGCTCCAATTCTATAGGCCGCGAGCAAATCCTGGTTGGCTAGACCTCTGACGGTGTCCTTAAGAAGTTCTTACTTTACATGTGTGCTAGATTGTTAATATCCTGCCTTTCCTTCAAGTGGGGAAACACCAAAGGAAAAAAAAGCAGTGGCAGAGGCCCCCCATTTGTTGCATCTCGCACCCCGAGTAGCTCCTGCTACAAGCTGGAAGGGCCTTCTGCTTATTTCCTTGCAAGGCTCGGACTGACAGATAGCGTTTAGTACCTGGAAGCGGGGCAGAATTCCTTCCCATGGCCACAAAACCTTGGACCAGAAATAATGGGCTTATTATTTATTATTATTAATTTCATTACATTTGATATGACTGACTAGTCCAGTAGACTCCGGCTGGTTCAGCTTGCAGCTACCTAGATTTTGTCTACATACAGGTGGTCCTCATTTAACGACCACTCGTTCAGTGACCGTTCAAACTTACGACAGCAATGACTGAGTGGTAGTTACTACCGCTCCTCGTACCTACGGCTTTGATTTGTGACCTTTCCTGTTGGCTTCCAAAGAACAGAGTCAATGGGGAAGCCGGCAGGAAGTTGCAAGTCGCGGTCATGTGGGATCCTTGCTTCATGACAGCAACGAGGAGTGCCATCACTAAGCGGCGCAGTCATGTGGTTTTTTGACTTACGACTTCGTCACTTAATGATGGAGTTTCTGGTTCCAATTAGCATTGTTAAGTGAGGACTACCTGTATAAGGAAAAGCTTCAGACCTTGTATAGTAAGTTCTGTATATCTATTTGTCTCTGGAGGTTTTAAGAGGTAGCTGGACAGCGACTTTTCAAGATGGTTTGACTGGTTTTGGACTAGCCCAGTGTTTCTCAAACTTGGCCACTTTAAGATGTGTGGATTTCAATTCCCAGAATTCCCCAGCCAGCCATCTCAAAGTGGCCAAGTTTGAGAAACCCTGGACTGGATGATTCTCGGGGTCTTGTCCAACTTCACAGTTCTATGGCTCAGGAGCTCAAGACAGCATGCGTAGTGTTCCCTCCTCCACAACAACCCTGCGACAGATGCTGGGGTAAGAGAGAAAGACCACCGAGCCACACTCTCTCTCAATCCAAACCTTGCAAGGGAAACAAGGGGAAGGCCCTTTCAGCTTGCAGCTGATGCAACTGGTTCAGCTTGGCCATCAAATCAGGGGCCTCTGCTGCTTTTTTCTGGTTTCGTTTTGGTTTTGTGCCTTCAAGTCAGCCTTGACTCCGGGCGACTGCCTGGACTAGTCCCTGCCTTTTCCCTGGCAAGGTTTTCGGAAGGGGTTTGCCCCGGCCTCCTCCCTGGGGCTGAGGGAGGGGCTGCCCGAGGTCACCCAGCTGGCTTCGTGGCTAAGGCGGGACTAGAACTCACAGCCTCCCGGCTTCTAGCCCGAGGCCTTCACTGCTCCCCCAAACTGGCTGTGCTGCTTACCTGGCACCAACTGTCCTTGATCCAACATGCGGCGCACGGCTCCGATGCTTGTTCCATGGTAGGCCATGTGCCACTTCTTAGAGGTACTGGCCACTTCCAAACGGGGGTTCACTCTGCAAAAAAAGCCGGCGGTGGGTGGAAGGCCTACGGTCCGGGAACCGGGAGGAGGGAAATCCTTTCCCTAAAGCTGCTTTGTAACAGCTTCCGCTGCTCCAACGGCGGCACAGCCCACACCTCCGCAGCTTCTGCCGTCCCACGCGAGAGGCCACCTCGTTCCCACCCGGCTGGTACCTGAGGTTGAAGCGGCACCACCCAAAAGGCAGGGCGTAGTCCCGGGGAGGCTCCCCCCGCTTGTAATAGGCCTCGTCGCCCCGGAGCTTGTGGCAAGACTCGCAGTAGCAGAGGCTCAGCTTGGGGTCTTCTGCAAAATAAGCCTCTGGGGAAAGATCGGGGAGGAACCACGTTAGGAAGGCGGCCCAGAGAAGCTGTGCATGTTCCAAGGCAGAAACAAGGCTCTCAGATGTCAGAGCGCAATTAATTTTATTTTATTTTTTTGTGGGATGTGTGTTTTTTTTAAAAAAGGAGTCTTTTTTTCTAATCCTTAATATTACTTAGTTGGGAAGATTTAAGCAGCAGTGGACCCGAAGGGTAAATCAAGAAGCGTACGTTTTTTCAGCTATATGTACCTAAGTGTCTGTGTGTGTGTGTGTGTGTGTGTGTGCGTGTGTGTGTGAGAGAGAGATAGCATATCAATATGGTTTGACTTGCCAGTTACAAATAATTAGGGGAAGATCTAGGCTATAATGGAGGGAATATGGGTGGCATAGACATTTAATAAATAAAATAATAAATAAAATATAAGATCGTTTCAGAGCTCCGGTTTCTGCAGTCGCAGGAGGCCTAGCCCCGTCTGTTCAAGTACCTAGGTTTGGTTATTAGCCACTCAGAATTCTATGGTATAAGAATGGTGGCCATATAAACCTTTTATGTCGCTTGATTCTGTGCCATCAAATCGTTTTCGACTCCTGGTGACCACATAGTTCTTCGTGACAAAAATCTTTTAGATAGATAGACCGACCGACTGACCAGAGACAGGCAGACCTGGAGAGTTTTTATCTTTTCCCTTCTTCTAAAGTAGGGGTTTTCAAAATTTTTAGGGCCACAGAACCTGTCAGTTAAAAAAAAATTCTGGACCCTTTGATCAGGAGGCAAAGCTCTAGTGATAGAAAATTGGCTGTGAACTTTTTATTTTGCTCTTAGACACTCATCGATCCCCACCAAGTTCTAGTCTCCCGTGGAAAACGGAAAAACCTTGTTTTGAAACACATACAAATATACGGGACACAAACTCCTACTGGTTCCCTTCCTACAACCGGTGTGTGCGGAGCATGGTGTACAAAGGGGATGGATTTGCATAACGGCATTTTCTTTCCCATGGAGCGTAAAGCTCACCTGGCAAGAGAAGCAGGTCCTTGAAGCGTGCGCAGAGGGCGTGATACTCGCAAATCTTGGTGGGGTTCAGGTCCACGGGAGGGGTCCAGCACACGCTCTCCTTGATACCTGGAATGTAGAAGGCAGGTGCTTGTGGGCTCCTGTGCAGGTCAAGAACTGAGGGGAGGTGAAGCCCGCATCCTCTAGGGAACATGTTCCTCAAAGTCAGAAGATCACAGAAACCCCCAAATCCTAGGATTGCAAGATGATGGCTGAACTGCTAGCAATAACCAAGCTGACCTCATAAACCCAGGTCAAACAAGGATTCTGAATGGAGGAAGTGGAAGGACACCGGGCTCTGACCACCGGAAACATCGTGCTCACCGTCCACCATGTCGGCCTTCTCCATGTCCCCCTGGCCTTGGGGGTCGGTGCCCTCTGCTCCCACTGCAGGAGTGTCATTGGTCATAATGGTGACCTAGGAAAAACAGAGGCAATAAGGGAGGAGGGGTCAGATCCCTGGAGCAGCAGCAAGAAAACCCTTTTTCATACAATGCCCTGGCTGAGGAACGGTGCTCCACAAGGTACTGGATCAGGCTTGCACGTGAGTTTAGGGCAGGGTTCCTCAACCTCAGCAACTTCAAGATGGGTGGACTTCAACTCCCAGAATTCCCCAGCCAGCCATGAGTTGAAGTCCACCCATCTTGAAGTTGCTGAGGTTGAGGAACCCTGGTTTAGGGGGCTTCTGGTCCCTGTCTTGGGCGGAGAACACATTCGCTCTGCTAGACGTAGCCTGCAAAGCCAGAATGGGGTTTCTTCAAGCCACAGCTTGGTGCAGTGGGGAAACCCAGCCAGCAAAGGGCTGCAGTGGCTTTTCATAAGGTGGCGAGGCCAGTCAACACCTAGGAGAACCTTGACAGGAAGGGGAGAGGGAGACTGGAATCAAGACAAGCTGGACCTTCTCAAGGGGGATGGGGCCAGTCTGGAAAGCAGTGGGGGTGGCAAGAAGCTCACGCTTAAGAGCATACGGCTGGGCTCTAAGGGAGCCTTCGAAGGTGAACAATTTAACCCCGGAGGAAGCGTGGCCACCTTGGCAAGGTTGCAGTATTGTCTCTTCTTCCTCCTCCTGCCGCTGCCGCCTCTTCTCCACCTCAAGCCACCTCTTCCCCTCCTGGATGGCCCCTCACCTGCTCGCACTGCCCGTAGAGATCGATCAGCACATAGCAGGGACTGGGGATGTCTTGCGCAGCCACGCCCTGGTCGATGCCATTGATGTACAGGTGAAGGCAGCCGCTGGCGTCCACCAGGACCCCCAACAGCGTCCCCTCGGGGCAGGTGTCCAGGTTGGGGCCGTAGTTCTCGCAGATCTGCAGAGGGAGGGTAAGCGCAGGGCTCGGCTCCCCAACCGTGGACACGCTTCTCCCTCCCAGCACCGCCCTCTGCGCCCAGCCACACGCCTTGCACCTTGAGAGAGTTGTGGAAGACTGAGTCGCGCTGCAGCAGCCACGTGGAGCGCTTGAGAGAGCAGGCTGTGGCCGGGAAGTTGAGCCGCTCTGGAGAGCTGCCAATGACGCCGAGAGAGAGCGAGGCGGTCCACTGGGGGTTGAGGGAGTCTATCTGGAACTGGAAGAAGAGGGGCAGATCAGAGGGGAGCCCTGAGGGAGGGGAGGAGGAAACCATGGAGAGCCCCCTGCCCCTGGAAAGAGGGGCTCCCCCATGACACACTTGGGGCCCTTACACGACCCTGCAGCCCCTTGCTCTTTCTAGGAGGACACGGTGCCAGGCAAGGATGGGGTATCCCTCAAGTGCCAGCCCCAAGTGTCCCAAAAGGATCGTGCACTGGGAAGCCCGCTTGAACCCTGGTAAGCCAGGAGAATGAATTAAAGTGAGCCTTCGCCCCTTGGTGCCCCTCCGACTGAGAAAGGCAGACAGAAGGGCAATCTAGCCAACAGCACTTGTGGAGGTTACTGCCAATCAGGGGGAGCGGGGGGCACTCTGCCCACTCCTGTGCCTGCCAAACAGAAGGGCGGCATCCGGGCTCTCCTTGCAAGCCTCTCTCTTGGAAGCGGAGCCCGTTTACGCTGCCATCATGAGAGAGGTTGCCAGAATGGCTCAGCCGTCTCCCTTCCGCCAGCACCAGGCAGAAGCCCCTCCCTGAACTGCCCCCTCCCCTCAGAAAACCAGGCTTTTCCCACGCTAGCAACGCCCTCGCCAGGGCGTTATCCAGAGTGGTGGGAGCCCAGGCCCCCCGCCCACCTGGAACAGCTGCTGCTGTGGCAGAGGGGGAGCCACCACCACAATGCCCTGGTTGTAGCTGGAGACCCGAGTGGCCGTCAGGTTGCCGTTGGACAAGAGGATGTTTTTGCCGTGATTTTCAAGGAATTCCATGGAAGAAGTCACAGAGGGCATATCGTTTTCACACTGAAAGACAGAAGGTGTGTGGGGAGGGTGTCATTCTTTTTTAAAGGACCGGCCATATCTGGGCCTTTTCCTTTCCCAACCGGTCCTGCTCGGCCCCTTAACCAGCTTCTTTGTCTCAGCAGACATTTCCTCCGCTCTTCCCATCTGCTCCCCCAGCCCTTGTGGACGAGCAACGTTTCTCCGAGAGAAAAATTAAGGTTGCTCTGCAGGCTGCTTTTCCAGCCGCTTTCTCAGGCACGTTCAAAGAACAGAACTGGGAGCACGGACCGGCGTGGGCTCTTCCTCCTCTTCGCTGTAGGGCTCCGAGGTGACCGAGGGCGGGTGGGTGCCCTCTGCCTCTTCCAGCATGGTGGAGCTGACGATGGAAACCGACGTCACCCGGCCATAGAGATCTAACACCACATAGACATTCTGAGAGCAGAGGAGGCATGGAAGAGAAACAAACCACGAAGAAGACATTTCTTGATGGAATCGCTTTAAACTTTGCTTGTCGTCCCACCTAACTCTACGGCTCCCTCCAGCCCTTTTCTTTCCTTCCATGGAAAGGCACAAGAAGCCTTTAGATCAGTGTTTCTCAACCTTGGCAACTTTAAGACACGTGGACTTCAACTCCCAGAATTCCCCAGCCAGCATGCTCTCTATCCAGCCCAGCTTCCCAAAAGGGCAGGGGGCTGTCTGCAGCATCATCCCCCAATCAGGTGCCCTCCAGCTTTCAGGCATGTTCCTTGCCAATGTGGTCTCCAGCCACCCCAGCCTGTCTGCGGGCATCAGATGGGAACAGGCTGGTCTGTGAGATGTGAAAACAACTGCCCTCTCTTGCTGGGGCTTCTCTGCAAATGCCACATTGGCACATCCCGCTGGAGCCCTTAGCCAGCACAAGTTTTGGGCCTTTTACCTTGGCCACGCCAGTCGCGGCCGGCCCCATGTCCTCTCCGTCGATCAGCACGTGCATGGTGTCGTCAGTGCAGTGCTTCACGCCCACACGGCTCCCCACCTGGAGGACAAGCGAGGTCACTGTGGAGGCGGCAGAGCCAGTCGCTCCTGACTCTTGAGGGCAGAATGGGCAGAAGGGAGGGGGTGCCCGAAGCCGGTGGCCTAGAGGCGACGGGGTGGGAGGGAGCAGCGCCCCCACAGAAATGGCGCCAAAGCCAGAGCAATGAATGCTTGGAAGCTCAGTGCCAGCTGAGCACCAGCAAGAGGTGCTGGGGGAGTTGCGCTAAGGCTCCTCTGTCTGGAAGTCTGCAGACCAAGTTGCATTGTCTGGGCTGTGTCTGCATGTAGCGCTAAGCCACGATCTGGCTTATTTGGCCCAGGCACAGCGGCTGGGTCAACCCACCACGTCTAAAGCAAACCACAGCTTAGGGAGATATGCAAAACCAGCCTTCTCACATCACAATTTTGCTTTGGTTGACCTTCACCTGGGCACCCTCCCAGCCTTGGGTTCCACACCCCGCGCTCACCCCGAGACGCTCCAGAGAACACCCATAGTTCTGCTTCTGCAGGATGCCGTTGCGCCGGACCTCCGAGCCCGTCACCAGCCAGGTCACCTTGGCACGGAGCTCCAAGACAGAGGAGGGCAGCCCTGTGGCCATACAAGAGGCATCTGAGGGCAGCAGAGTGGTCAAACCCACGTGGACTGACCCAGACCACTTTTCATCCAGCTCGTCTATCTTCACCTAGAGAGACAAAGGGGAGGCAGGAACGTTGTCCTTTGAGTGCGCTGATGCCCTCAAGACGGCGCAGTTCAGCACAGCTCGCTCTTCCCTGGCGCTTCACGGCCGTCTCCATGGGGCACCCCAGCAGGATGGGACTCCCAGACAGACTCCTGCTTTGGTGCTTCTGGACGACCACGGTAGCAGGGCCTCACCTCGAAGATTTCATCCGTCTTCAATTCCTTCATGCTGAAGACGATGCCGTGGCAGAAACCGGCCACCCGCATGGCCCGGCACCCATCGTCCTGGAAGGCCACGTTCTTGCCGCAGCTGCTGTGGAAGCGGTGGGCCACCCCAGGAACTGCAAGGCAAGGGCGGAGGACAGGCGAGGCAGTCAATGGTGCCTCGAGGCTTGGGGGCAGAGGCTCTTTCAAGGGGCTGGAGCCCTTGGCTTCTCACCTGGGGAGTGGATGGGGAAGGATTTCTCCGTGATGTTGCTGGTGGAGAGGCTGTTGTCCAGGGGCCCGGTGGAGCTGGTGATGGACACCTGGACGCACTGGCCGTAGAGGTCGACCACGGCATAGACCTCTGACATGTGTGGGAGAGAGTGGGGTGAGTGTGGGGCAGAGGGACCCATCCCCACCCACCCCTCCTCCTCACTTGCATCCACAATTCCCCGAAGACGTTCCCTCCCACAGAGGAAGGGAATACCGGTGGCATGACAGGCATAAGGTTCTTCCCCACATTTGTCATGTCTCTCTGCAAAGCAGCTTCCAGAAGAATCCCCAACTTGCTGCCCTCCAGATGAAGGGGGACTGACCTTTCCAGAATCCCCCAGCCGGCCCCCTGGTCTGCTTTCCACCCATGACTCCTCAGGCACCACCCCTTTTCGGGGGCTGCAGAAAAGCAGCCTTCTGGGTGCTTGATAATTCTCACTCCCAGAATAATCAGCCCGGTGCCCCCAGACCCTTTCTCAAGTGCTGCGTGGCCCCTGCCCAGAGCCAACCCTCCAGATTCATCCTTGGCCTGCCGATTCTGCCATCCTGTCCGTCTTTCCTCCCGCCCCCCTCGAGCTCCAGCTAATGGCCTCACCCTTCCCTGGGGGCAGCCCCGAGCAAGCCACTCCCTGGTCAACGCTGTTGATGAAGTAATGCAAGTCCCCTTTGGCTGTGCGCATCATGCCGATGCGCGAGCCAGTGGTCAGCGAGTCCAAGTCACAGCCATAATTGTTACGCATGGTGTTTCCGTCCTGCATGATGGCGGTGCCGCTAGGAGGAGAGGAAGGGAAGAAAACTCTAGCGGCTGCCACCACCGCCCTTTCCAGGGAAGCAGTGCCATGAAAAAAAGGGCGGGGGCTTTGACTGTGCAGCCGCCATCTTGATTGTTTTGCCCCCTGCCCCCGTGGACTTCAGAAGAGCCCCAGAGAACAGGGCCAAAGGCCTTTGGCTCCCTCAGCAGCCAAGCAAGGCAGGAGGACTCAGAGCCTCAGGTTCCTCAGCGTCTGAGATTCAGAGCCGTCTGCCCTGCGGGCGAGACGATGCTGCTGCGGTCCTTCCAACGCAGTGACTCTGTGGCTGCTGCCATCTGGAGTAAGGGGCCATCAACAGCTTCCTCCCCACAAAAGCCCTCTTGGCACACTGCAGTGCATCGCCCCCCTGCCAACATTCTGCAGTGGGCCCTTCCAGGAAGGGCTGTTTTGTCTGTCTCAAGGGGCCATCAACAGCTTCCTCCCCACAAAAGCCCTCTTGGCACACTGCAGTGCATCGCCCCCCTGCCAACATTCTGCAGTGGGCCCTTCCAGGAAGGGCTGTTTTGTCTGTCTCTCCACGGCTAAGATTAGTCGCCCTCCCTCTTTGTTCACCTCAGCATCCAGGTATCGTAGTCAATGTCTGTCATGGTATTGGGAAATTCCAGGTCCTCTGGACGGATGGCGGTGACGCCTGGGGAGAAGGATGCCAAAAGCGCTAAGCGGCGCTGTCCCTCTAGGCCAGTGTTGTCCAAACTTGGCCACTTTAAGATGAGTGGCTTTGCTGGCTGGGGAATTCTGGGAGTTGAA